GAATTATTTGTCCTCATTGCTTAGATTGTATGTAAAAAAGGATACAATAAAATGAAAATTAACATATGTAGGGTTTTTAAGATCTCCTTAATAACTGTTACTATGTCAAAATAACACTTTAGTATATCTATTAGGTTTATTAATCATCCTAAACATGTATGTATATTTTCTTCCTACAATGAACTTTTTTTGTGTACATCAAAGGTTAAATATGTTATCCATTCTATTTTATTTGTTTATTTTTAAAATATTATGTACAATGTATCGAAATTATAATAATTAAATTGCGTCTCCTAGTGCCTACTTTATGTTACATCGAGTAATCAAGATGTCAAATGTTAAAGTAACATCTTTAAAGATATCCACTAATTATCAAATAAACATAAACTGGATTCCATGTTTTGGAATGTTTTGGCAAGTTAAACAAAATGAAAGAAAAAGACCCGAATAATTAGTTGTTTGTAGTTTACAAACGAGTATTTCTGTTGTTATTGTTTCACCGATTATTTACTGTAAACGATTATTTGTATGTCAGGTCCACAAATCTTGACTTAATACTTCTGAGTGCTTGTGAAGACCCGTGTCTTATACGAACCAAATCATTTCTGACTATTATAAGATAAACTGAAAGCTACTGTCGCGTTGAAAAATTGGTTTCATACAGCCTTAAATTTTATATACACGCTGTAGACCTGTCACTAGGAAGAAACATTTAAAATAACACTAAACAACTAAGATATCTTCTGGCTCTATATCAAACCATTATGTAAATTCGACTGCAAAGGTAAAAAAAAAAAAAGGAAAACCGTATGCTTCTTTACCAAACGGATTAGTTTTGGATCGAAGTATTACTGATTATGTTTTATAAAACAGGCGAAGTTGGCCACCTGTGTTGGTAACGTCGTAAAGTGTCATGTGTGTCTAACTAGCATCAATAGATCATTTGAAGCCAGGCAAACCAACATTAGTTTCGAAGTACAGTTTCCGTTTAACAGCTAATAACATACATGTATTTTTTCTCCTAAAGAACATTAACTGAATCCAAAAGTGACTATTTTCCTTTAACAGTAAATACCTGTTCACAATATTCATTCTTGCATTTACTGAGACTGAAAGTGAACAAACAAAAAATTATAACCTTCTATCAAAAACACATTATCTTAGCTGTATAAGCAGCCAAATGTTCCAAAACTATATATTAGAGACATACGTCATTGGTGTATAATTTCCAAACTCTTGTAAAATTAATTATTTCATTGTTTGTTAAGAGTTTCGTTTCTGTTAGCCTGCTTAATCTTAACAAACTTAACAGAGACCACCTAAAAAAATGATACTAATAATTACAGAAATATCACCACCACACTTTGTTTTGTTTAATTTTATTTAGACTGTTATTACATTCCAAGCTCTTATTGTTAGTTTGCAACTTAATAAGATAAAAGAAAAGCCTAGGTGCTCAGAAATCGCCCTTGTGTATTTATTTAGCGTGGTAAAAAATAATTTTTTGCACAATAAAATTTTTTATAAACACAAACAATTCCAAAAAATAATTTTAAAAAATCAGTTAGTCTGTTTTACAAAGTAAAAAACATTGGTAGTGTATGATCAAGCGATGGGTTTTACGCCTTTTGTACATTTAAATCGACAGTCATGAAAGTCCTGGCAACACTTCAAGTTTCCACAACACTCATCATCTTTCCAACATGGAGAGTCTGGAGCTGCGCCATCTGGGCAAGGATCTCTAATGAAAACTGGCCAGTCTGGACACTTTAATCTTTCTAAAAGAATTAAGAATTAAAACTGAAGTACAAAGATTATTGGCTTTTAAATAAAGAAATAATCCAAGTATTTTTTGTATTTTCTAGTACATCACGAGAATTTCAATATTATTTTTGTAAAAGTTTGAATTGGCGAATAATTATAATTGACACAGTTTACTTAAAACGTCAATCCTATCTTAATTCATATTATATGTTTGTGAGTTTGTTTTTCCGCGAACTCCTCCAATAGTTTTGAAACTAGTAGGACCAAACTATACAGGCGGACTCGTGTTGGTCCAAGGATGTCTTTATCTGTATGTCGTAGCTCTGTCCTTGTCTAATTGTGGTAATATCGTGGACTACAACACATTCGGAACATCACTAAAGCATAACGTGTGTCTAAGACAAGATTTAATTTCAATCTAGCATAGAATTTTATGTTCCTGACTCCTTTCAGGACCGCGGAGTCGCCATTTTTAAAAGGGTTTTCTTACCCTATTCACAAGCTAGTGGGACTGAACTTGGTACACGTGCTCATGTACGGTGTTTTTATTGGTTTCTTTGTGGGAAACGAACTTCCCTTACGGTAGCTATAGAAGCATTTGGAGACAATGGAAGAGACTGATTGGTTCAGTAGAGACTCTATGAATTATGGGAGGGCCCTTCAGGGGAAAGCGAGTATTTTATATTAATGTCAGTTAAGACATTTAAAGAGTATTATCGTGCATTAATTTTTCAATTACGTTTTCCATTGGTCTCATAATTTAAAACTTATACTGTAAAAGTACAAATTTTATATTGATATTTTCTTCCGCGCTTCAGATATTTACTTTTTGATTCTTTAGTAATTAGAAAAGTGTTCTTAATCAGATAATAACTTTGGATTTAATGGAAAGTACAAAACATAAAGATACGTTAACTTTCATTTTTGAACATCTGAGCCTTTACCGTCATTTCCCTCAAAAAACAAATCAACTGACAAATATCTTTTGATAATATAAACAAAATTAAATAGATGTATATAAACACAGTTAATAAAGGTAAACTGTAGGTATAAGGCCTAAATATCTTCGTAGTACTGTGTCAGTGCTAGATATAACATTATAATTGTGTTGAATTACTCCTAAATACTTCATACAAGATGAACGGTGGCTCAAGGTTCGAGTACATCAGTACCCCACATGGGTAAATTAAATAGACATACACAGTGGTGTAGTAAGGAGGAGGAGGAGGGGAGGGGCGTCAAAGAACCACCTAAATAATCTACAAAAGTTTAAAAGATCCAGTATCATATGATTTTTTTTTTAAATAAACACTTGACTTTCATGAAACTCGTTTAAATTATATGTGTAGAAGAAAGGCCTACGTCATCTTGGTAAAAGACCCCACCCCCACAAATTACTTTCTGGAATTCGAATTAATCCGAAAAGTCTTGAACCTCTATTCATTGATCTTAAGAAAACATTACATTTTCTTTTATATTAGAACATTAAATGTGATTAACTAAACAAACGATAGGCTTAAAAAGTGAATATTAAAATAAAAAATGTCAGAAATTCTCGTAATATAGTCTTTATGTGAGTATTATTTTTTCGTCAGAAACTGTAACAAGTATGATGTTTTAGTGTTTAACTTCTACATTATGTAATTTATAGGCTTAAGCTCTTTATTTTATTCAAAACCACAAAACCTAATTAAAGTTGCTTTTATAATTTTTAATTACTTGACTGAGAAGTTATGTGTACGGATTTTCTAAAACTAGGGTTAACTTAGCTAAAACTGTTAATTAGGTAACAATTTTACGTTTCTGCAGAATGTAACACAGGTAGAGAAAAAAAGATTTCGAAGCGACTTCCTTTCTTTGTCCCCGTCACACCAAACATGCTCGCCCTTTCAGCCGTGGGGGCGTTATGATGTGACGGTCAATCCCACTATTCGTTGGTAAAAGAGTAGCCCAAGAGTTGGCGGTGGGTGGTGATGACCAGCTGCCTTCCCTTTAGTCTTACACTGTTAAATTAGGGACGGCTAGCGCAGATAGCTCTCGTGTAGCTTTGCGCGAAATTCAAAACAAACAAACAAACAATCCTTTCTCTGCAACTTAATATCGACACGATTCGAGGTCTGCAAACATAAAAACCTTCCTTGTAGATTTAAATCAAAAACGTTCGAAATGAAAAATTTTGAAGACCAAACAGAATTATATTTCATAAACTTGATATTTAGCTACCAGGTTCAATACAGTTTGAATTGTATTCTTTCTTTCTTTTTAAATATTGTTTATATATTTGTTTTAGAACAAAGATATACGATACCTTATCTGCGCTTTGTTCATCACGGGGAATCGAACCAACGATTTGAAGTTGTATGTTCGTAAACTTACTGCTTACACATTGGGGAGCTTGGCATGATCAGGAAGTTAGGGCGCTCAACTCGCAATCTGCGGATCGCGGGTTCGAAACCCATTGAACATGCTCACCTTTTCAACTGTGATGGCGTTATAATGTGATGGTCAATAATAGCCCAAGTATTGACTGTGGGTGGTGTTGACTATTAGGCTTCCCTTTAGTCTATCACTTCAAATTTAGGGACGGCTAGCACGGGTAACCATGAAGTACCTTTGCGCGAAATTCAATAAAACAAACAAACTAACAGAACCACTGATGGATTTTCTGAATGTAAAATGTAGTATACACCAATCTCTCTCTCTGCATAGACGTTTCGAATAAATAGTGTCTCTCCTGAAATATCAAAAATCGATTATTAATAATTGTAATATTGACCTTTATTAAATCACTGAATAGTAATTAAGTAAATGAAGCGAAATTAAGAATTAAGGAATTAAGAAACAGTTTGTTTGTTTGTTTGAATTTTGTCCAAAGCTACGCGAGGGCTATCT